GACCGCCCTTCCAAAAGCAATATGACAGAGAAGAAGATAAGAGGCAACCGAGCAGACGGACCACCTGATGGTAAGTAACTGCCACCTCCCCTGGACACCTGTAGCTCAAGAGATTCAAGAGTCACAATTGCATTTCCGCCCTTTGAGTCTCCTTTCACCAGAATCAGGGGGAAAGGGAGACCGGTAACCTCACCCATCAGTCCTCACACAAGAATTACTTAACACCGGTTTTCTGTGAGGCCGTGGTACCACTCCGGTAGAGCTGGCCCATTTCTGCCAAAGCATGGCTCTCCCACCATTAAGAGCATGTAGATAAAAACTATGGGGTGTTATCAGTATATTTTATTTACTGTTATCATTATTAATGGTGATCGTTATAGTATACACTTATTAAACACGTAGAATACAATGTCACCACCCCTATTCATCCCGTGGGTGTCGTAAGAGCCGACTAAGGGAGCAAACTAAGCAGGACAACAGCACTGTAAAGAGACGGAAAACTTAAAACAAAACCCTATACCAACCCGTCTGGCCAGCGTGGTATAGTAGGCCAAAACCTCCTTTCTAAGGAGAGGCCTATGTCCAGCAGAGGACTAGTAAAGGCTTTTACAGAAACACGTAGTTAGGTAGTTGAAGCCTTAAAAAAATCCAACAATAGCCTTTCTACAGAACTTCGCCTAATACTGGGTCTGATGGCAGTCGCTCCGCCTAAAAAAGAACGGAGTTCAGCCGTATCTCTTTTTTTCTTTTTTATAAAGACAACTCCCGACAACTATAGGAATATATCCTGTGTCGCGGGGGACTTTACAAACAAACATGAAACGGACACAAAGAACACCCAGACTCAGAACAACAATTGTGGATCACACAAAGTGTAGTCCTATGTGGGGATCGGACCCACAACACTCAGCGCAGTAGTAAGCGGCAAGGTGACCGCTTAAACCTTAGTCTAAAACTTAAGTCTACGCCATACGTGCAGTCAAGCACGTACCTAGTAGACTTAAAGCCGACCCTAGCCTAATTTGGTAAAAAGGTTCGGAGGAAGGAAGTCATGGTACTGAAACATGTAACATATAAAATATCCAGTTTTTGGAAAGTTATCAGAAAATGTACGTTCGTATTGTCTGTAATATCCAAAACTGTTATTGTATAGCCATCGTTCAACTATGATATAGCATTTTACTGGATCAGTGATACTAAAATTGAATGATAAACAAGCATACGGGCCGATTCGTGGTAAGCGGTCACCATAGTTTGCAATTCCAACCTTCCTTCCAAGTTTGCAATTCAAACCTTTTGCTCCTTTTTTGAAAAACTTTGTACTGTGGTCTCTCAGGGAAAGCACGGTGTCATTCTACAGCCAGGATGTCCAGAAATTAAATTCCTCTGGACTATGCCGTACGCAAACTGGGCCTGTTGCTCCAGTGGTTAGTGATACTGGCTTTTGAACCAGGAGGTCATGGATTAGGTTACCACCCAGGACAAATAATTATGTATTGAACTCATTTTTTTTTTGTTTGTGCCTGTGTGTAATTTGTCCATAATCATTTCGTCATCATAATTTCAGCCAAAAGACGTCTACTGCGGGACTGCCTTCCCCTAGGTTCGTCACAACAACCAGTTCTGTGCTGCCCGCATCCAACGGCTTCCCGCGACCTTCACATCACATCACATACCCACATCAACAGCCTGTAATAGTCATTTGCTAGACATATGCATCTCTTTAGAAAGGAGGTTTTGGCCTACTATACCACGCTGGCCAGACGGGTTTTATAGGGTTTCTTTTAAGTTTTCCTTCTCTTTGCATTGCTGTTGTTCTGCGTTGTTTGTTCCCTTAGATGTTCACTTATTTTTAGTCCGTTACCACACGGACAGACCCCCCGCGACCTTTATCTAACCTAATTTAATTTTATGGTATTTTGTAAATTATGTGTCAGCAGTTTATTTATATAACTCAGGCTTTATCGTGTTCTTATTGTTAAGTATTGACGTGCATTTCAAGCATGGTAAAATACTACGCAAAAAATATTAATATTCAAGCCAAAATGTAATTTCAACTTTAAATATAAAATACTGTACTGTACGATATTAAATCAATACTGATACGGACTATTGCAAACTCAAATAGGTTGTCCATATTTAAAACAAATTTAAATTAATTCAATTGTTTTATTTTCAAGAAACGGCCTGTTCAAATAGTTGACTCAACAGCTGTGTATACATTCAACTTAAAACAGAAGATAGTAATAATTTATTACGATATACTTAAGTCAGTTAGATGGGTAACAATAATACCAGAGAAGGGTCTCGCAAACGTTTATATAATTGAACTGAACAAATGAACTCTGAAGACGTTAAAGTTCCATTTTAGGCAGTTTACTAATAAAAAGTAAAAACTTGTCTAAGGTCCTAGTCAAAGATAAAGTTAAATCTATTTTTTTTTATTTGTAACAGCTCTCTGCCTTCCTGTAACTTTTAGAAGTTATTTTGTGAAAAGGGCATTATAATGCCTTAGGATAAACGAGCTTTTGAGGCGAACCAGGGATTTCCTTTTTATGATACAACACCTGGGTCCGTGGCTACTGGTACTCTAGCGTTCGGATTTAGTTGATTCGAATCCACGCCACCGGCCGTCCGGTGGGGGAAAATTAAAAAAAAATGGTACAAAGGCAAAAGTCAAGTCTCGAGTTTTAGTATAAAACGCATATGATCTTCCAAAGGCGGTTTGTAAAAGTAGAATATGCATTAAAACATGACTGATACTCATTTATCCCCCAGTGGGATTAATTTTATAATGATTTATATCTAAATTTTAAAACTGTGTCAGACACATAATGCGAGTGAATTATTATTACCACTTGAATTTAAAACCTTTTTTTTCAATTTCGGAAAGAGAATTTCAACTTAGTGCTCACGCAATCAAAACGCAGTCATTCCGCCTTCAAAACAACATAAAAAATGCTTATGTAGTCCACGAAAACAAGATAAGTTTCTTGCAATAAAAAAATGTATTTTAGAAGATAATACTAATAGAATAAAATATATATTTTTTTTTTAATTTAGTAAAACAAAAAACAGAGATGCTTTGATCCGAGACCAAGTTTAAAAGCAAAAAAGAGCTCCACAATCCACTTCCTATAACAATATTTGTAATTTATATGTTATAGTATGTATATATTTGAAAATATAATATAAATATGTATCTTAGCAGTCTGGTTACCATAGCACATACTCTACCTAGTTTGGAATCAGAAATCGTTAATAATCTCGATATTTTGAATTCTTCAAAATAATTCATATCTGCCTGACGCAGCAGTCACTAAAAAGTTCCACTACCTACTTCCAGCCTTCATCATCTCATCAGTTTTAAGACACTTAATTATTCTATTGTCATCTCAACTACATGAACAAAAAGAACTTCAACTTTTAATGATATATTTTTTTAAAGGTGTACTAGCAACCGAAATTACTAGTCTTCCCATTAACCCCTCCCGCTAAGCTAAATTGCTTGTGTTAAGAGTAGGTAGTGTACTGGTCCGGAATTGAACCCACGACCTCTTGATCGCAAGTCCAACGCCTAAACCAGTAGGCTACCACCGCTTGATAACTATAAGTAGTTAAAAAGTAAGGTAAGTTAAAAATGACTTCCAGGATTTATTTACAGGCGATGATAAAAAACTAAAAAACACTTTCTATAGAAAACCAAACTAAAAAATAGAAATTAAATTTGAAAAAAAGCGTTGGGTGCCCGTTGTCAATAGTAAAAAGCACCCCACGCTTTTTTCTTAAATTTTTTTCTATTTTTTAGTTTGGTTTTAATTTAAAATTTTTTTAAATTAGTGTATTGTCATCGGTTCTCGATATATCTACAAAGTTTGAACGAATTCTGACCGTTTAAAGTCAGACAAAATCACGCCCAAAGGAGTCGGTTACAAACATACAAACATACAAACAAACATACAAGTGAAGCTAATATAAAGCGTGTAATAATTACGTCGGAACATCTACTATGTTAAATGCTTACTCACATGCCTTAGGTAGCAAACTCAATCCATCAGTTGCACAATGGTAGTGACAACGATGTACCTTATTGTTCTTGGGCGTTGTCACCAGACGTCGTCGTCGGAACGACCGCTCGTCCGACGTCGAACCGCTTAGCAAGTAGGTGTCACATTACAATAGAATTTGTAAAGCGACTCCAAGCGTCAGTAAAAAATTAACCTAAAATATCTAGAATGTTCCTTACATCTACGTACTCTACTATGTTACCTTACATAATAATATGTTTAAGTTTCTAAGCCGTAGTACAACCCTTATGCTACTCTATTTTAAAGTTTTTACATATAATGTTAATTTTCTTGTACGTACTCAACCGTAAGGTTAGTTTAAGTAGAATAAATTATCACACACATTAAACAAAATCAAGAGGAAATAGTAAAAAAACTTAATGTCTTACGCGTATTATTATTTTTTATGTTAGAGGAGGCAGACGAGCAGACGGGTCACCTGATGGAAAGTGACCATCGCTGTCCATGAAGGTCTGCAACTCAGGAGTCACCGTTGCCGGCCTTTAATGAAGGAGTACTCTCTTATCATATTAGAAATGAAATAAGATATAAAGCCTGAATGGTATTGCTGATATTCTTTTAAAATTTACTAAATATGTCTAAAAAAAGGCAAAAGTTTATTGTTTATTCATTCAATTTTTATCAGAAGCTATTCATGCGAGTTCATGTTTATAAAACCAATACCATTTACGCAACATGTTCACAATTGTACGCCTTTGTCAATATAATTTCGAAGCCAAAAAGAATAAAGTTAAACCACCATTGTTTTATAAATCACATTGCGCACGTCCCTACATTTACATTCGTATCACGGTGATGCCATAAAACGCGCTACTGACCAGATACCAACAGCTAATAAAAAACACTGAAGTAAATATAAAAATATTTATTACAATACTGATTTATAATTAAATACTTAACCTAAATATCACTTTACAATTGACCCTCGTTTCCGTGGGGAATAACGTTGTCTTTCTCGGTTATATCCTCCTTGGTAGATGGAGTCGTTGGCTCTTTCCTTTCATCTTCTGCAGTAACTGTGGCAGCTGATGCCTGGGTCGTTTCAATCGGTTTCTCTGTCTTTTCTTCTTCAGCGAACGGCTTGTCGGTTTCGACGATAGGGACTTCTCTATCTTCATCCTTCACTCTGTTCACTGGACCGTTGACTGGAGCCTTTACTATCAGGATCCCATCGCTTGTCATTTGAGCGGTAACATCAGAGGCGCTAGCATTCGCCGGCAAAGTATACGTGTGGAAGAATTGGCTGGCAAAAACATCATGGTCATCCTGTTTCGTTTCATGTGTACCCTGGATGAAGATGAAGTCGCCTTTTACCTTGACTTTCAGATCCTCCTTTTTGTAGTCTTTCACATTGATAATAACTTGAAATTGGTCGTCCTCGTTGATAATCTTAGGACCGATGTCGGCGAAGCTGGGTAACAGCCTCCACAGTGGTTCAAAAAGATTTCCAAACAAGGGGAATGATAGCCATGGCCTTTCAATGTCTTCGTTGTAAATTGTTGTTATTGGTACTGGGACCGGGCGGTCAGTAGTCGGTAAGGCGGCGACGGTCGCCAACACGGCGAACACCGTAAACGATCGCGAGAACATGTTTAACGTGTACACTCTTTGGTGATGCAACTAGAACTGAGGCGGCCGCGGGTCGCGGAGGCTATATAGAGATGGCGGGGCCAGGGGGGTGCGTAAGCGCATCGGTGACTAACGATAGACTAGTAATCTAAACACGGCGTTAGGTACAAAGTGATTTTTAAATTAATCATTCAACGTAATGGTTTTATAAATTAAGGTATGAAATAGAACAAGTGAGATCTATATATATATTTTATTTTTAAATAAATAGGCTAAAACATAGTACATAGCTTTTTATTAAAGAAAAATAACGTACTTACTTTATGTACGATTTTAATTACAACGCCATCTATGAAAGCGGCTATTACCTACATATTTATCAGTTGGTTTCTAATTAAAACAATTTATACATTGGTAAAATCTCCTTGAGAAATGATGTCGAATACAATATTTTTTGCTCAACCTAAGAACATAAATTTTAATTTTACTGAGATGGAAAGTAATGATTTCCTATCTATTCGATAGATGGCGCTGAATGACTGACAAGTGACAATTCAAAATAAAAAGTGTCGTTACAACTTTTTGTGAGATTTTTTTTTTGTCTAGATAAGTTCCTTATCGCGCGTTGTGAAAGGGGTTCACAACGCGCGATAAGAAACTTCGTTCCAAAACTAAATTAACTAATATTCTATATAACTGCATTATTATATTAAACTAGCTGTACCCTACCACGTTTCGTTGTGGCACGTTGTCGTTGCATTGATGAGAAAGAGAAAAAAATGATACGGAAAAATCGTGTCAAAATTTGAACTCGATCGGTGCAGAACTTTTTCAGTTTTTGAAGCAAACATAAACCAACTTGACATTTTTATATCATCATCAACAGCCTTTAATAGTCCACTGCTGGACATAAGCCTCTCCTTAGAAAGGACATTTTTATATATTTGAATTAAATTGATAAAAGTTATTATATTAATTATAGTTATTTATACACAACACTTCTGAGCTTTTAACTACATCTAGAGCAAAAGTCCTTCAGGAGAGCCAATCAAACTTTCGACATAGCGTTATAAACATCGTAAACCAGTTCTAATTTGTTGTGATTTTGATTCATTTTAAGTAATATTAAATTATATCAAGTATAACTAAACCCGTATTACTAAAAAATTTCGTTATAAATTGATTCTGTAAAATAAATTCTTGAATAAAGAATAAAATTCAGTCACATGAAAAAATAATTTTGTAGCACAACAATATCACACTGTAAAATACAATTTGTCCGTGTGGGGACGGATTAAGAATACAAATTGTCACCACCCCAATTCATCCCGTGGGTGTCGTAAGAGCCGACTAAGGGAGCAAACTAAGCAGGACAACAGTACTGCAAAGAGAAGGAAAACTTGAAACAAACCCTATACCAACCCGTCTGGCCAGCGTGGTATAGTAAGCCAAAACCTCCTTTCTAAGGAGAGGCCTATGTCCAGCAGTGGACTAGTATAGGCTGTTGATGTGAAAATACAATTTCTTTCTTCGTATAGCTTTTAAGAAATCAATGAAATATCATAGCAAAATTTCAGTCTTCCAAAGCAAAAACTAAAAAATAGTAGGTACAAAAAAAGTGTTCGTAGGCAGAAAACGAATTATCAACGCGACAAGTCTGTTTCATTACAAAACATTAAATTCATTGTTGTGCGTCGTTCGACCTTGTACGGGCAGGTTCTAGAGTGATCTTCAACAAAATTAGCTCGTTTTATACCACGTAATAGTGCATTAAGTGAGTAGTGTCGCTTCCTCCATGTCTTTCATTTATCTTCATTTGTAAAAACCGCATTGTAAGCTAAAAATTAATTTCTTTAATGAACTCGATAAAATGTCGTTAATTTGAGTACCAACAAAAGTTATAGATCAATAAGGCTTTTTAATACATATTATAATTATTTTAATTGCAACAAAAACAAAGATACTTACCGTTGAACGGATTGATAGAAAAAATGTATCAGGTAGCATAGCAAAGTTTTACGATATTGATTACCTACTTACAGCTACCTATTTCATATACTTGGACTTTCGCAATAAAGATACACATATTTGCTTATAGTTAAGTATCAGCAATTAATTTTAAAATGACTATCTTTGACACAAAATATACTTTATTAAAATCCAAAATTTCCTCATGTAGCTTATATTTATTGTTTTTTAGTTAAAAGCCAGTATCATCCAGAACGATATGAGAATCCTACCTATACCCTCTGCATCAAAATCTGTTCAGGCATTTTGAAGTTATGGCTGAATAAATATTTTACACTAAAAGGAGTGTGATGATCTTCTTTTAGGGTAAAAAAGGCTTTAAACTTACTTGACCTGTTACTCTGTTTTTTTTTTAACCGACTTCAAAAAGGTGGAGGTTATTAATTCGGATGTTTATAGATATTTTTTTATGTCTGTTCGGGCATAACTCCGTCATGTATAGACGGTTATTCAAAATTCTTTTTTTGTGCGAAAGGGGCTTATTCTGAAATGATCCCATTTAAATTTTTATATAGATCTGATTATGAATTTCGGAGCCAGACAACGGAACTTTTCAAAAAATGACAGTTAATCAACCGCGATTGCTGCTATTTTTTTAGTGCTCTTTGTAATGTAAGTTGGTTCAACTTTTAAGGGATTTAAATTTTGGTAGAAATACAGAAGTGATCCAATTTAAACGCCGGTTTAATATTGGTTACTCTCCTCTGTATATATATATATACATATATATATTTATAAATAGAAACGTCTAGTCATTATACTAGTTTCAATATATGTGTTAAAGTATCGCTAAGACCTACAGGGACATAAAACGGTCATAAAGATAGAGATGACTTCAAACATTCATTACGTTTACGAGTAAAAGTTTAACATAATTAAATGTTGTTTATGGTACACACTTTATTGCCCACAGATAACAAAAATAAACTTGTATATAATACGCCAAAACAGGAATTTCGCATTTGTAAGAACCATAGAACAAATTTCTTATAAGGATCGTGTAGCTGTGAAAAACATATGCTTCGGCACAAATTCGACTAGTATGATACCACAGTCTAACAGAAAACGGCTGTAAAACAATAATAATAATAACCTCACACATCTCACACACGGACTTCTGATCCCAAACTAGGCAGAGCCTGTGCTATGGTAACCAGACTGCTGATAAACATATATATTTCTAAATACATACATAGTATAGATAAATTACACCCAGACACAGAACAAATGATCATGCTCATCACACAATTGTTTGTCCTGGGTGGGAATCGAACCCACGATTGCCGGCTTAGCAGTCAGGGTCACTACCACTAGACCAATAGGCCTGTCATATTAAAAACTAGCTGGTACCCGTGACTTCTTTGACGTGAAATTCGAAAAGCGATACGCGACTGCAATTCATGAGGCCTCGGGTTCAAAGATTCAAAGATGGCAAAATTTTATAGGGTTATTCTGAGAAGAAAAATAGCCTACGTTACTCTTTATATAGACAGCTATCTGGTAGTAAAATATTATCAAAATCGGTCAAGCCTATTTGTCTATTTGTGACGAGTAGCCATAAACAGATAGACAGACAAATACTATTTAAACTCTGTACGAACCCTGGTGTTTAAATAAAGTATTATAGTCGCCCTAGGGCAAAAGCAGCGCCGACCAGCTTTGGAACAAGCTGTCGGAATGCTCGTCGAAGAGCCATCTCCCGTCAAAAATCAGACCCAGATACTTCAATATATGGTTTTACATGACATTTTACTCATTACTGAAAAGAACACAGAGGGCACTAGCCTATTAAAAAAACACAAACTTGAGCGACACTACCGCACCGGGTTATTCCAAATTATAAAAAAAAAACTATTTTTTTTTAGCTCTGCTCTGCTTATATCCAAACTTAGTATAGCTTGCATATATCTATAATTGACCGTCTGACTATCAGAATCAATAGAATCTGTGCTCGTAATTGACCGTCTCTCTGTATGTATGTCTATGCCCTTTTTCTCAGGTATAGATGTGTCCAGTTACATACATTATGTCTGACTTCCCCTGACTTGCGCAATAAAACCATTTACTATTTAAGTCATATAGAATGCTTTAATTTTTTGCAGGTCTCTTCGTTCAGCCCCTATGCTCTATAGCCCTGTAACTATCATTAATGTAAATAAACATATAAAATCGAACCTGAGACCTTTAAAGTTACAATCAAATGCATTACCACCACGGCACATAGGCAGTCATAATAATAATATTCATGATTATAATGGTTCATTAACAAAACCTGTCAGGTTTGTTTTTACAGCTTCGAGAACTTACTGTTGCATTAATAATATAATACACTCGTATGTTTCAAAAATCGCTTAATAATGTTTAACTAACTAAAATTACTATTATGCTTTGACTAACGCTATTCTAACAGGTGGTAATCATATCAATTAATATAGAAACTGGTATATTAGTAATGGACTAGTAAAGGTTGTTGATGTGATGTGATGTGACATTGGTACCTAATGAATTCATTTGGGTGTTCAAAATGCTTTTGTTTTGTATTACACTCACGTCTTAGAGGGAACTCTAAAGAGGGAACTCTTTTGGGTTAAAGACGTGAATGTAAATTTATTTATTTATTAAAAACAATTACAGTGTCTTTACAGGATTTATCCCAAAACGATACTGTAAGTAAAAACAGTAAGTAACAGTTATTTATACATAAAAATCATTAATACATCTCTGGGCGACTTCTTTGAAGTTCGGCAGGCTACAGTTGTAGATATCTACTTGTATTGAATTAATATTAATAAGCCTTATGGCGCGTGATATAGGAGCATATCGAAGTAAATTTGTTCGCGTTACGGGAACGCTCAGCGGAGGGGGCTAAATATCTAGGTATCATCATTAATCATCATCAACTAGAAAGGAGGTTTATGGTCTTCTATACCACGCTGCCCACAAGGCTTTTTAAGTAAACACAAAAAACAGATCATCATAATCATATTTTTTCC